TATTTGGCTTCAAAGACAAAAATATAGATGCTGAAGTAAGAACAAGAATTGATACAAGAACAGAGGAATGTCGTAAAATACTATGCAAGAAATACTACAAGGCCTCATGCTAATAAGACAGTCATTATTGCTTCTCTCCCCATCTAGTTCTCTTTTTATCTCATGGTTCCTTTTCCTCTTATCTTCTACTTTATCTTTATCTTTGCTTCTCTCCAAAAGGCAGCTATATTAATTTCTCTATGCACCAACTTTCACAGACCTCAGATTTCCCCTAGTCTGCTTCATCATGGCACTGATTCAGGCCCTAAATCTCGTGCTTCAATATCAAACATTTGTAAAGTTACATTTTAGAGATAAAATTGGATCACATTATCCCAATTTATGAAATGTTTCCCTTGTTTGGTTGCTAAACTTGTGTGTCAACTTGGTTGGGCCATGGTTTTGAGTGGCTTAGTAGCTGGATATAGTTATTCCCCATGATCAGATTGCAATCACCTCCACAGTGGAATCTGCTATGAGCAGCTAAGTGGTCTGCTTCCAGTGTATATGGAGAAGCTTTGAGGAAGATCACTAGCTTTGTGGCACATTTTGTATTCTGCATCTGGCTCAGCCTTCATCTCTAGTTCCTAAACTTGAACCAATGGCCTTTTATGTTGCCTGCTAATCTTGGGATTGTGCCATTTTACCAGTTGATCTTGGGGTCATCAGCGTCAGTAGCCAATAGTTATGTGAGCCAGAAGCCTCCAGCTTCAGTGGGCCTGAAACAAGAGACAGATCTGAAGCCCAAGGCCGAGGGGCCTTCTCCCATTCCTAAAACTGGCACTCTGAATTCCGATTTCTAGCCTCCTAAACTGTAAAAGAATAAATGCCCATTTGTTAAAGCTATCCACTTGTGGTATTTTTGTTATAGCAGCATGAGAGAACCAAGACACTTTGCATCAGATATTTATCTCTGAACTAAAACTTGTGGTCAGTAGGTTAGTGTCACAGAGCAGAAGCCAGTCCAGCTAGGCTACTCATGGCACCTTTAGTTGTAGTTGTTAGGTGCTGTTGAGTTGGCTCTGACTCATAGTGACCTTATGTGCAACTGAATAAAACACTGTCTGGTCCTACACCAGCCTCCCAATACTTGCTATAACTGAGCCCATCATTGTAGCTACTGTATCAATCCCTGAGTTGTTAGCAGGGTATTATTTTAAAGAAGGAAATGTGGAGGGAAGATAGTCATAATTCTAGAAGCTGAGTTGGATCAACTCTCTTCTGATTTTAGTTCTGTGTTTTTTTCATTGAGGGACTGACTGTATTTTATTCATCTTTGTATTATATCAATATTCTATAACATACCTAGAAATTGCAGATATTACATTATTTCAACATTCTATAAAACATCTAGACATGAAAATGGTGTTGAAGTGATGACCTTGAAGTGAATCAGCCTGACATTGGCAGGTCATGGACATGCCCCAATCTCTGCATCTGAAAGACTGCTTGCAGCTGAGTGTCTTCCAAAGCCTGCTTGAATCAAACCCCTACATGGTGGCAAGAGTGAGAAGGGAGAGAGACAAGCTGAGATTTTTAAAGATACTTGATTAGATTCCATAAACCAAGTCCTGAACTTGGAATGAAGAAGGGAAACAGAAAAATGGAAAACTAACCTGACATATGGTTGTTTGACATCCTTGTGTAGCTGCCCGAGAAATCTGCCAAGGAGATACAGGCAGAAGTTGTATTGGGTGGGGATAGAGACCAAATACAGAGTCAAGACTCTTCTCTCTCTTCGGCCTAAATAGATCAAGACATGGCACAGCAATTTGGAGGCTAATTTTGTCCCCAGAGCTCTACAGATGATGAACACAGTGAGTTACAATTTGGGTAAGAAGCTTCAGAGCTCAACAGCTTTAGATATCTAGGCAATGTTTCATCTATTTTACATCTGCATCTCTAGTATGTGTTCTTTCCTTATATCCTCTTTTGCAGCATTTTCTTATGGTGATTCAGGGACTAGAAAAGCAGACTTTAAAGACTGTATTTTTCTCTTCCTTTCTGTTGCAGCTCAGGTATTCTTCCCTCCACTTTACTCCTCCTTCACACTCTGGAGAGATTCCAAAGAAATTCAGCTGGTTTACATATCTGGTCTGCACTAGAATTTGGGTTGATAAATATTGCACAGTTGAAAACACAATCTAATTTCTCCCCTCTTTTGCATCATTCCTTCTTTTTCTTCACTTACCACTTTGAATGTTTACAATACAGTAAGAGGTCATATAAATTTATTAAACCTCTCTTTTTTCCTAATTTCTTTTTTAAAAAATGTCATTCTAAATTTTCCTTTCAATCTCCTCTGATTTTTAGAGTGGTTCCTCAGGGCTCTCATTTTTGGATCTCCCACTGACTTAATCTTCTCTAGAGCAGAGTGCTTAGAATTCCTTTGGCTTAAACTGGCACATTAATCACTGCCTTGCCTTAAAGGATTTAGGGTGGAGTCTCTTCCAATAGACCTGCTGCCTGAGTAGCTGCAGCAGTGGCAAAGAAAGCACATCTGGTCCCCTCTGTAGAAAGCAATCTGCCTCCTGCCAGCAGCAAAACTCTGTGGACACAACAGATCAAAACCCTGAGGGAGGTGGGGTGCCATCAGCCGTGAGAGGGACAACAGCAGTGTGGGCCCCATCCAAAGTGAAGAAAGACTTTCACAGCTTCTAACTTCAGGCAGTGCCCACACCAGTACCCTGCTCTGGGCTGGCCTCCTCTGCCAATTGCACTAATCATTCATCTCCTGTGAATCAGCTGGGAAGCATGCCAAGTAATTGCTACCAACATGCCTTTCTTAGAATTTTTAAATGGGACTTTTAATTTCTACCCCACTGTTTTCTGACCTGACATCTGCTTTTTCCCACTTCTGTTTCTAAGGACAGTTATGAGCTTGGGCTTCTCGTTCATACTAACTGGAGGTTTCCTTAGTAGCTGTAGAACAGGCTTTTCCATTTTTTATAGAAGATAAGACTTTAGGTAAAATTTTCCCATGGTAAAGGAGAAATTTGTCCTTGAAGTTCCAAACTACTTTGAGTATGCCTCTTGTGTGTTGTTGTTGTTGTTAAGTGCTGTCAAGTCAGCTATGACTCACAGAGACCCTATGTACAACAGAGCAAAACACTGCCCAGTCCTGTGCCGTCCTCACAACCTTGCTTTACCTGAGCCCATCATTTCAGCCACTATGTCAATCCATAGTTGTTGTTGATGATCTTCCCTTTTTCCATTCACCCTCCACATTACCAACCATGACATCCTTCTCCAGGGAATGATTCCTTCTGACTACATGACCAAAGAAGATGGGACGAAGTCTGGCCATTCTCTCTCTCTCTCTCTTTTTTCTTTTTAATTGTGATTTGGGTGAAGATTTACAGAGCAAATTCACTTTCCATACAGCAGTTTACATATACTTTGTCTCATGACATTGACCACAGTTAACCACAATGCAACAGCTTCCCTCCCACTTCCTCCCCATAGTTAACTCTTCGCAGCGTCCATCCTTCCATGGACT